TCTACTTGCCTTCGCTGGTTTTCAAGGGAGTATGGGGGGACTGGGGTACTGTTCAAGATCCAACCCCATCAGATTCGGCGCCTCGTCATCGTCCACCCACGAGCGGCTTCGGCCTCGTGCACGGCTCGTCATCGTCGTGCAAGGGATGGCACCGAACTCTTCAAAATGGCCCCCCCCCCCCAAAAGAAGATGGATTGGGTGAGAAAGGGTAGGTGAAACATGTGTTGGGTCGTTTGGAACATGGAGTTTTCAATGTATGATATCATGCTCTTCCAGTCCAATCTCAGACACTCTGGGACTGCCATATTTACATTTAGACCCATCATGTACACCCCTTTGGTCAGTCCCACCCCCACGTCGTGTCTGTTCCGGACGAAGTCTCGATCCGAGGCAGAGGCCCAGGAGCTTTGGATGGCCTTCGGCTATCGCGCGGCGCCTTCGGCGACGGATCCGCCGGGGGTTCGGCGAAGGAAACAGATGGAGGTTTGGGAGATTGAACATGGTGCAGTCACCCTTTTTTGGGGGCACAGACACTCAGATGATCTCAGATGTATGGTCATGTTTTGCCTAGATGTTTGCACCAAACTACCGAACAACCTTCCATTTCTTGGGATAAATCATACAGTTCTTCATTGAATAGTTCCACGCAACCGGATCACCATTTTTTGGGTTGTGCCAACCACCAGACCAGACGCATCCACCGGTCGACCAGACGAGACGTTCCGGCCTGGCGATCCGTTCCATGAAGCCGAGCAGGGTGGAGTGGCTCATGGAGTGGCTCGTGGAGGGCTCGACCTTGTTCGGTCTAAAAACCACCAACCTCCATGGAACGCCCAACCGAACGAAACTCCATGGAACGCAGCCGAGTTCTACCGATTTCACAGGAGACAATTTAGTCGAGCAACACCACGCTGAATCAGGATCCTGCCAGTGACCCCATCTATGTCCCATGATTTCTCAAGCTTCAGCCTCCGCGGTGTTCCCAATTCATGAGAGTGGCAGCGTCCTTCCATGGACTGCCCGAGGCACCGAACGCACATCAGCTAGTCGGGTTCCTGCTAGCTTGAGCTGCTCATGTCGACCCCCCGCAGTTCGATGGACCCGTCCGCGGGGCGATCGAAGCGTCGATCCGCCTTCGTCTCATGTTGGCCATTCCGACAGAGAGCAAGACAAGGATCGGCCACAAACGTCCTTGCAACATCATCAGCGCCCCAGGATCAGATCCAATCATCTCCACTCAGTTCTGAACATCGAAATATAATGAAATATATCTATAGACAATTCACAGTTCAACCATGCGTCATGTCACAGTCATGTCCTTTTCGTTGCGACGGCCTTCCTCCCACCCATCGGGCCTTCCCACGCTGAGGCGGAATTGGCCTGCGGTCGTTCGGTGCAACCGATGCCCGGGGAGCCGGAAGGCCGGAGGGGAGAGGGAGCCGGGCACAGACCCCCAATCTCGGTGGATCCCCGAGATAGGACATGGGGCGCCAGTGCCATCGAACCTCTGAAACCACTGTAATTCGGAACAGACTGTGGATTAATAGCTGAGCTCCTCCCTAAGGGGATATAAAGCACATCAATCAGCAGGCTATATCAGATAGAGCTCAATTTCACCTTTGTTTTGATAGGAATCGTATAACCTATTTTGGGTGTTTGATGATCCAACATAGAGGCTCTATAGAGGTCACTCAGGTGTACTCGGGTTCTATACCTTAACGTGTGGCACCAGTGGTCCGATCAGACACCACCTTGCCGAAGCCGTGGCCGCAGCGTGGCCTTCCGGAAACAGCAGGATTGAAGAGCATTGATACGTTGAATGAAAGGTCGTCATGGTGCCCCGGCACGCTTTGGGCAACAAAGCTCGAAATCAGTTGTTAAAGTTAGTTGTTCTCCAGTGTGTTCTGTAGTGACATTTCATCACTATCGTGTGCCCCGAGTGCGAACTCCAATCCGAACTCGAACCGGGACCATTTTGAACCATTTTTCCACATCGTTCGCCACATGTGTTTGTTTCTTTCCTCCTGAGATGCTGCAAGGCGTGGAAGGTCGTGTTCCCAGGGTGCAGTGCAGCTTGCAGAGCACTTTGCGGTTTCTGCAGGTGCACGCCACAGTTTTTAGCAGCATTGCATCTTGTTGGAGGAAGTCCAAGAAACGGAAGAGCTGGCAAAATAAGAGCACAACAGCGTATTGTAATTATATATATATATTAGATATAAACAGGTTTGTCTTTTGTTTATGTTCAGTCACTGTTGGAGCAAGAGATTCTTTTGCGAAGCGAAAAAATATCGGACCTCCATCACAAGCGCCTCAGTGCAACGGACTCCGAACCGAGGCCATGGCATCCGTCCAAGCTGGGCCTCACAGTGCGGTGCTGGTGCTGGTGAATCGCGTGTCGGGGAACCAAGAGAAGGGCCCGGCATCCGCCCGGCATCCGTCCGGAGAAGGTTGGGAGTGAGAGATGTTGCGAAAGAATGGTACAGTAAATGTACATGTACAGTGTGCATATATAAAACAATCTATCATATATATATATATTAATTATATATATATGCTTATATATGAATTAATTATATATATATATATCATATTTTCGAGAACTGTTCTATGTTTATGCCAGTATGCCATGGTCTCCATTATTCTGTCATCTCGTTTCATCCCATTGGCGCTGCGTTCGATGGGCCCATCCCCTCGAGGCTGGAGAACCTCCGAGACCTGAACCCGTTTGGAGCCCCGGACGTGGGAAGCGCGGAGGCCGAACTCGAAGCATTCTGAGGCCATTCCCTCGTAAAATAGATGGATTCTAGGACATTTTTCATCTCCATAACCTGGATCCTATAGGTCATTTCCATCCATCATTTTTGATCTCGAACCCCTTTCACTTCACCATACTTCACCCCTTTCCTGGCGGAAGATTTGGAGAAGGCGTTGTCCCGCTTTCTTCGGATCGCACTTTCGATCCACCGACGTGTGGCGAGGCACCAGGGCTTCTATGTGTTGCAAGCGATGAGCCGGCTACGGCTGAAGCATCCTAAGGCCTAAGCGGAGGAAGCGTCCGGTGTTTTTGTTCTTTTTTTTGAAATCATAAAAAACAACATCGAAACCAATTCAAAACTGTTTGGTTTTGGTTGTTCTCTTTCCCGCAGATCGCTATGCGTCCCCCTGGCTTTCGGTCGAAACTCGGTCATGGTGCGCTGCCATTGAGAGGACGTTGACATGGGTGAAAAGCTGTTTGTGTTCTGTTTTGGATGTGCTGCCGCTGACCGAAGGTAATGGTATTGATTGCAAATAGGTTTGTTATGATTTGTTCAACAGCCATGACAATTGAGTCAGAAACTCGGCCATCCCTCCGAATGGCTCGAGGGCAAATTTTGCCACAATGTAGTTCTTGATGGGCTATTGATTGTGATGATTTGCTGATACGAGTCTTTCTTGAGCAGATCATTCAAGTGTTTGAATATCATATCATATAACCAAACATATCTGAAAACGCGCAGAGTCTTCGTGGAAATCCATTTTTCTTACCGTCTTCTTGTGACCTGCATGTCCTTATCAGGTCCTTAGCATCAGCTGCAGGTCACGTCACGTCCACGTCACAGGGGTGGGTGCACAGACCCGACCTGTCCGTTCGGACTGGCGATGCCGATGTCCACTCGGCAGATGGGCCACGTCAACGGAGATGAAGATGGCGTTCCCATGAACAACAGGTAGCACGAAGAACAAACACGGCCCACTCAAACATCTATAGCGGCAACTATAGAGAGCTGTTTCTTTCGAATTGCGTTTCCATCAAAAGGCTCGTGGCTTCCCATGGCGCCGAGCGAGCTCAGTGCCGTGCCGCCGCCGTCGCGTGTGCCGTCGTGGCCTCAAATTGTCGCTTTTGGACTTAGGACCGCGGAACTTCGCTCTACGTACCGAGTCGTTCTTGTTAATGGTACCAGCTTGTGTTGTGTTGTGCTTCTCTTTTGCGGTTGTATACCGCTGGAGTTCTGTACTTGTTGGTTTGTCGTTGTTGTTGTTGTTGCTGCTGCTGCTGCTGGACGACATTTGGCCCACTTTTCACTCTCAACGAAAGTGTATGAGGAAGCTGGTCTGCATGCCACAGAATCAGACCCACGGTTTGGATCGCAGGACATCTCCAACTGGAAGATCATATGAGCTGTGACCCAGAAGCCCACGATGCAGGGTTGAGTGGGATCACAGAATTATCCACCAGGTTTTCTCTCCCATTTTTCCAGTCCATCGCCAGGCCTCAGGCGCCGCAAGCAAAGCCAGCGTCCCAGGCCGGAGAAAAAAACACGAGGAATGGTGCTGTTCCAAAATAGGTGTATGGCAATGGGTATATGGGTGTATGAGGTCCTGTCCGGTCCCTTTTGGGCAAATACACGCAAAAGATCATGCAAATATGTTTGGGTCTGTCCGTTCTTGCCTGTAACAGCAGTAAACAAGTATCACTAGTCTTGAACAAGACCTGGAACCTAAGCATCATCATCCACTGAAACCTGGCAATAGGATAGACCCAACAAATATGGTATCCATGGATTTGTTTCCTTAAGGCTTCCCTCCCTAACTGGCGAGAGCAACCGCGTCCAGGTCTCAGGCGTACCACCGTCCATCGTGAGCGGCAGCGGAGCTGCTCAGGATGGGGAGGAAGGAAGTTGGGGGACGAAGCATTCAAGAACAATCTGACAAAGCACAAAGCATGACGAAAGCCAAACCTGTAGAAATTTGAGACATGTTGGACACACACACACACACACAGACACAGATTTTCTATCGTTTGATTTTGCTGTTGCCATGAATCTTGAATATTCTTTGCTCGGTGCCACCAGTCTTTTCTTTGCTCGTCCGTAGAGTTCGTGGCCCACAAATTTCTGGAGACTCAGATTCTTGGCCCCCTGGCATTACCGCGCCAAGTCTTCATGCGTCGACTGCTCTGCGCAGGATGCTCCAAGGTGGGGCAGCCTGGAGAAGGTGTCAAACTTGATGTGGGAGTTATCCAAAAGGTCCTTGTAAGGGTTTTTAATGTCGAGAGCCTTGGATGACACGATCGTGGGTCTCGCGAAAGTTTTTTTTCGAGTTCGCGAATGTTAATGTTTTTTTCGCGAAAGATTCGCGAAAGTATGAATTTTTATTGTATGTTCTTTGGCGAGCCTTCAGGCTTGCCCCATGCATAACCACATCCTTTCCTGACCGTCAGCAGCTTCAACTTTGGAATCCGTGTGAAGCTTCCTTCCTGTTTCATGTAGTCCACCCTATGTTATGTATGCCGTAAAAACCTCCAAAGCACAGGGATTATTTCGCGAAAGTTTCGCGAAAGTCTGGCGAAGGTTTCGGCGAATGAATCGGCTCCAGAGGAACCCCGTAGCCCATAGCAACCCCACAAACTGTATTTAGAAATCGAGTCCCTACCAGGTTAAATGGTTTCATGACATGGTGAACCCCCGCGAAAGAAAAACACAGGGTTCGCGAAAGTTTCGTGAATGTTAATGTTTTTTTCGCGAAGAATGGCCGTTTCAATAAACAAGAATATTGGACAACCACCATGTGAGCAGCAAGCAGTTCTACACCTCGAGGTTGCCCAAAGGGTTGGTGGTAAAGGTGTCTATGAAGATCTATAATATGACGGTTTTTCCTACACCATTTATATACCCCTGGGCCTCCAAAAACCTTCTGAGAAGGTGGGACTGGGGTGGGTTTGGAGGGTCCAAATACCTTCTGAGGATGTACTTGGAGGTGTAGGGTAACCCTTTTGGATCCTTTTGGCCTGTTTACGCATAGGATCCAAAAACCACCTAGGGTTGGCGGAGGGAGGGCACCCGAAACCACTGATATGGCAAGGGAAAATGGATGAACATGGCCCGTGAGTATGCCTTTGTTGGGGTTCCTTTTCCCTCATTCCGAAAGAATGGTGAGGAGAGGTGAGGAGTGTAGATGAGTGGAGTACATGTTGAAACCGTGAATCGATAGGTGACATGGCTTCGATAGATGTGTGGGTCATGAGGAATGGGGGGACCCTGCTTGACCACAGAACATGAAGAGAATAGCAACAGTCAACCTACCAGACAGTCAACCTACCAGACATGGTACACCTACCAGACATGGAACCCGGGTAGGTTGGACCACCAAACTGTAGGTTGACTACAATGGGTAGTCTGCAGGCGGTCAACGACCGACTGAGTCGGCGGTCCACTGCGGGTTAGAAGGAGAAGTTCCACCCGACAGGGTCAACCGGCCCCCCGTCTCCGCGACTGAGGCTGGGCAGCTCAGTCTCCCTGCCCGCGTTACCGGAGGCGGAGTACCACCGGAAGACTTGTAGAGCATGGAGTGAAATGGTGGGATCTCCGAATATTTTGAATTGAGGTTGGTTGGAATATGTTGGAATCTTGCTGGTTCTTGCACCAAGGAAGAAAAACACGGGTGCTTTGGCAAAGTAGTCCATAGTATATAACCCTGTCGTGAAGGGTATTTCGCCAGTGGTGGGGACCTTGCCTTGACTGGGATGATTTTGACGCCCTCAAGTGCACTCCCCAGACGCCACCCAAACAGCTTTGCCAAATCTTCAAACATCATTCTGTGATTGTGTTTCTCCTGTGACGGGTGGCTGGAGTTGAAACAGAACAAAAAGCAAGCATGCAATTCATTTTTCAGCTCTGGGTTCAAGACAAAGTCTAAACGTGATAGACTTTTTATATCGGTCAAGATGAGTGCATCGATCAAGGCAACCGGCGATCGATCCGGAAAAAAGCAGAGGCGGCCGAGTTCCAGCAAGACGGCGACTGGGACAAAGACGGTAAGTTGCAAAGCTTGATTTCTAAGGAACATGATTCTAAGGGACATCGGTTTCGTCACTTCTGGGTGTATGATGGTGTATGTGTTTTGCCTGAGTTGTTGGAAGATACGACACAGCAGTATCGGCTGCATATATAGATCTTAAAAATTTTTAATATATATATATACACAATACATATATATGTATATAAATAATATATATATATAATACATATATATATATAATATTATGTGAATATATGCACATATATATAATGTCGACGTAGGATTAGTCACCCCCCTTCAAGGTCAACAAGGTTGGAGACCACATCCCCTTAATAAAGATGATGACCTGATGATGGATGATGAGATGAGGACCTGGACCAGATGATGGGTGATGGTTGATGGGGTGGTGTGTGACACGTGAGAGTTTGAACCATGAGAACCATGAAGGGTCTGAGTGTATGGGCACAAGTTTGATCAGAGATCAGATAGGATTGATCAGAGAGCCATGCCAATTGGATCATTGCATATCAGAGCATGGAGGATGAGGAATGGGAGGTGGAGGCTATTTGTGGTGAGGGTGCATCCATGGACTGGATGGAATATTGGTGGCCTGTGGAGAGAGATCAGAAGATTAGAGGTGAGTACAATAGTATGGGCATTCCAGTATGGAATCGCAGATGGTGAGATGATGAGGCATTGGCTTGATAAATGGATTGTGGAATTGGGGATAGCATGGTGTTTGTGGGATGTATTCATCCATTCGTGGGCAATGAGTGGTGGAGCTGGGTCCATGGAATGCATGGTGGAAATGAGTTTGGGGACTTGCTGGGTGCACCATGGGTTGGTACTCATTGTGCACAATTACTATTGATGGAGCATATTTGGGCCCAAAATATTGGTTTAGTGAGGTATTGGGCCATGGTGCACTCAGCAGAGGAGATGACCAATGAGCTTTTGAGCTTGGGTGGTATCATGAGAAGCCATGTGCTGGGCAATGTCTGGGTGATCAATTGAGGGTATGCTGGGATTGGCAAAACATGACTTTATGTATGTGTATGTGGACACGAATGATGGGATGAAGAGGATATTCTTTATGAGTTTGGGCCATGATGGTGATCACCCAGCAGCATCAGATCATTGGTGTATCTATGGTTGGAGGGTTCCATCAGGCTCTTTGGAGAGATTCCCCAGGGTGGGGGGATATGGGCTATAGACCTGAAGGGGTGAGAGCATTGGAGATGAGCAGGATTGGTCCAATG